GCTGGGCTGGGCTGGGCTGGGCTGCTCTTGGGGCTAGCGGCGGTGGCACTGGGAGGAGGGTCAGGAAGGGGGCTACAGTAAATTTTGGAGTAGCTGCAGCCCCCACCCACCCCCTAGCCCAGCTCTCAACACCGCTGCCACCCACCCTGAGTGCAGCCTGACCCAGTGCCCCACACCAGGAAGAGCCCGGCTTAGCCCCAGCCCCTGACCCCAGCTGCAACCTGCCTTCCTCCATGCGGATCCGGGGGCACATGCCCCACCATGCCTCCCTCCCCACCCCTGCTGCAGCCACCAGAAGCCTGCAGCTGGGTTGCCTTGTGGCCCTACCGCTGCCTCATGTTTGGGTGGGCTGAACCCCGTTAGCCCACCCCTTCTGCCGCCTATGCCCAGGGGGCACATGCCCCCCCAATCTATGTGCGGGGCGAGGCAGCTGCCGCCGTGCACTGGGCTTTGCATTTTGAGTGGCTGCAGTGGGGCTCAGGACGCAAAGCTCAGTATGCAGCAGCAGCTGCCTCACCCTGCACACAGACCAGGGGGCACGTGCCCCTTGGGCCTCCACTGGGGTGCATGCAGCAGCAGGAGCCCTACTGCATGACCCTCCCCTGACCCAGCCTGGCCTGGGCCCCACTCACCTAGTGGCAGGGGGCATGGAGAGGGATCATCCCACTCACCTGGCCCGGTTCCGGCAGCAGGGGGCACAGCTTAGCCCAGCCACATGCATCCTGCCACTCCCGGACTGTGTCCTGGCCACTCCCCATGTACGTCCTGCTGCTCTTGATCGCAGAGCCTCTGACAGTCGCTTTCAGTCTTGGGGGGCTCAGCCAGTCAATCGACCAGTCCATCGTGATCATCTGGTTGGTGACCACTGATACACTGATATAGAGGATTTTCCAAAGACGTTGTTGATAGTGACATTCCAAGGTTTTCAGGTGTTGCAGATATGTCCAGGTTTCACACTCAAACAGCAGGGTAGGGATAACAACACCCTGGTAGACAAGCAGTTTGGTTTGGGTCCTGATATCATGATTACTGAAGATATGATTTCAGAGATATTCTAAGTTAAGACTGGCAGATTTATTCAATGTGGAATATCATCCTTTATGTTTACTTTTTTGGGCATGGTGACTACCCAGGTAGGGAAAATGCTCAACATTCTCCAAGGACTGCCCTCTAATTGTAATATGTGGGGGAGCAGCTGGTTGGTTTGGGGTAGGCTGGTAATGTATCTTGGTTTTCATGAAGCTGAAAGCAAATCCAAGCATTTCATATGCTTCACGGATGCAGCCTCTTCCTCTGTTGCTCCAGTGTCCTGGCCAGGAAACTGCAAGACAGATCCTGCAGGCTACCATGCCTGCCATACTGGCCACTGTCCCAAAAGCTCCAACTGGGGAAAGCCATTGTTTGTGAGCAGCAGGGGAGCACAAAGGACATCTCTGCACCACCTCTGTGCTGTACCCAGAAGCCCACTTTGAGGCACAGTGCATCCACTTGTTCCCACTCAGTGCTCTCCAAATCCCAGGAATGAGGCAATGTAACCACCTTAGTGTGGCTCTAAGCAAATCCGAGACTGAGGACCTTGGAGCGGAGCCAGGCACATGCTCAATGCCACTCTAGTGTGACTACATGGGCTCAACTGAGAGTGTTAGCATGCACACAACAGGCAGGTTCACAGCCTGCCAGGGGCCAGGTAGATATGCCTGAAGGGATCACAGGGTCCTGCACTGGAATAGCTTCAGCTGGGAATCTGATCTGGCTGAGGTTACATGGAAATCAAACCCAAAGTCTTAAATACGACCTCCTCAGAGGGGGAATAGCTGAGCTCAGGTTTCCTGGACTGGGTTAGAGAAGCTCATGCAGAGACTGGTGATAACTAATGAAGTCCACCGTTCCTCAGAGTCTCTAGCTCCAGGATCAGAGCTCCACTCTTCTTGTCTCTGCTCACAGCCCCAGGTGGGGTCCTGCTGCCAAAAGCAGCTGCCCTGAGAAGAAGATGGTGCAGAGGCCTCTTTCCTTTCTTACATACTACAAACAGCATTGAAACAATAAAAGATCTCACTAATACTGAATGTTTACATAGTGCACGGCATATGGGAAGACCACAGGCCCAATGCTTCCATCTCATGTCATGCATGAGGAGCCGGGGGGTGGGGAGAGTGTAGATAGGGCACAAACAGACAGGAGAGCATATAAGCCTCCATGGCTCACTAAAAACATCCGGGAATGTCTCCTTGCCAAAAAGGAGGCTTACTCCCAATGGAAAGGAGGGGTCATCACTAAGGAGGACTATTCTGCAGTTGCTCGGGGATGTAGGGGGATGGTTAGGAAGGCCAAGGCAGAGATGGAACAGGGGCTG